GAGCGTTCTTGCTCATTTTGCCTCCGAGATATGAGCAAAAACGGGACGGAAAACATGAAATTTTGGCATAATCTTGCACCTAAGTGTCTGATATTTAAATTTCGCTTTCTGGGTCCAAAATACTCGAATTTCCTCACTCACGTTGTTACGACTGAATCGACATTTCAATTCTCTATCCAACGATGCCAAAACGAATTCTGAGGCTCAAATGGTTCTTGAGAAACTTCGAAAAAAGCAGCGTCATGTTCAAGTGAATTTTGCAACTCAAAAAAAAACCACGCAAATCTAAAAAATTCTTAAATTCTTCTTAAATTCAAGCATTTTTTGAGAAAACTGTCAACAATTTCCCATTTATGGTTCACTTTCTAAAAAAGCAATTTATTTCTGTCTAGAATGATGTACAAATGAGCATTCTTGCTCATTTTGCTTCCGAGAAACATGCAAAACGAGACGAAAAACATGAAATTTTGCGCCACCCTTGCACAAAACGACGATAATTTTTCTAATTTCATAGACAACAGAAGACTGTATTTTTTTTACATAACCCCCTCCCCCCTGAATTTAAAGCTGGATCCGCCCCTGATTAGGACTTTGAAGGAGTTTGATCGGTTCTAAATATTTTTTTTACATTTTACTTTGCGCCGTCTTTTAAGTAATTGAAAAATATTATTTGCCACTCCAAACAATGTAAGCTAAGACAGCAAACAAATTCCCTTAGCCATGCGATATTTTAGATTAGAAGCATTTTCAACCCAAGAGAAACAAATTTCAAAATTCCTGTTTGCTTTCAAGACTTAAAACCCTACCATACGCCCTCAACTCTTTCTTGCTACTATCAAAGTAGAAAATTGACCGGAAGGAAAGCTGTCTTACTAAAGCACTCTTACACTGTTCTGATGTCATCATCAAGCGTTCAAGCAAACCACTTCTGAAGATGCAAGCCACTTGTGCTTGCGAAACGTCAAGAAGAAATTCTACCGAACGACGGCCTAAAAACCCGAAAAACTCATTAGTTACCAAAGATTCTTAGATCAGACAAAAAAAAAACGTTCATATAAAAGTTTTGTGATTATCGCCAGACTATTTGTTTCTGTTACTTTGAACTATCCAGGATAGCTCAAACTAAAGTTAAGACAATCGCAGACAACAGAATAGATCGCACTACAAAATCCACTAGACCGAGTACTTCACAAGCGCCCAAACTTGGCACGGCTGACAAATTGGAACAGAAATAAAAAGTGTGGGATTAAAAATGAACATGCAGAAAACAAAAATCATGAGCCCGGAAGAAGAGACAATCTCAAGGATACAAAAAAATAAACTGACCCGTCAAACAAATATGCACAAAAGTGTCCGACCAGTTTATTGCCAGTATTAATATATGAAGCGCAGACGTGAACCGTTACAAAAACTGCAATAAAAAAATTAGAAACATCACAATTTTAGAGTTAGCTTTTAGAGTTTGATGCGGAAATTGTTGATTTGTTGAAATATTAGTAACACTAATTTTGTTTTATTTTAGAAACACTTGTTTCACGCAAGTATCGGTATGGCCTAGAGTTATTGACTTTGGGGAAATCGATGTTTGCATGGTATCAGAAGTGAAGAAAATTACCATTACAAATTCGGGAACTAAACAAGCTACTTACTCCACTGATCTTGGCAGAAATCCGTTACAAATCATTGTCAAGCCAATGAAAGGAACAGTTCAGGTAGTTATGATCTTAATTTGTTCATTTAGGATTGTTCCAATGATGCCAAAAGTTTTCATTGCTGTTCACTTTACTGAAAGTATATGTTTCCTCGTACCAATATTTCTGTTGGCAGGCATTTTTCACGTTTCTTTAGAAGCAATCGTGCATCATTTTGCTCTAAAAGCGTTTAATTATTTGGCTGTTCCGGTAACTGATCTTGGAAAGTTCTGAGATCTTGCTAGTAGCAGAAAGTGAATAATAACGATCCAAATGGAAATAAAAAACAATTTAAAAGAGAAGCATTAAATGCTGAGTGACTGTAAATTAGCATAGCACTTGTAAGGGGTTTGTCAGACCGAAGAAATACCGGAGATTTATAATTGTTTTATTTAAAAAAAAAATCCATAATTCCGTATTTGTGCTTGGTTGACCCAGTAATTCAAAAATTGTTTGTCCTCATCACTTATCATTTTAAGCCTGGAGAATCAAAGCAAATAGCAGTAGAGGTATTCGGTACTTGCGAAGGAGAATTCAATCAAGAATTTTGGATCAAAACTGAGCCCCTTCAAAGGGTTCACATTCAGGGACATTTCATTGAGCCAGGATTGAAAGTGGACTATCCATTAGCCAACCGAAATATTTTAGTTCTCACTTTTCCCAAAACTTTCGTTGGGGTGCAACAGGATCGAAATGTTGTCATTAAGAATTACAGCTCTACTTCCACAGTATTTTGTGTAATTGGTATCACTAGAGACGACGAACACCTTGTAAGTTTACATAAACTGCTAATGACTGATTATTTTTTAACCATTATATAATTTTATAAAAAAAGGGGTTTTTGAGTCACGGATTTGCAGAAAGGTCTAAGCTCACGACCCAGATCATCACTGTCTTAATTTTTTTAGTGGGTAAGTGAAATAGGTCGCACTAGAATCGATAAAAGCGTTCTCTGTAGTGAATAAGTCGAACTAAATTTTGAAAAGACGCCCTCTATCGTGAATAGATCGAAGCAAAAGTCTGAGTTCGACATATTCACTTCAAAGGGCGCTGTTGTCGATTTTAGTTCTACCTATTCACTTTAGTGGGCGCTTTTGTCGATTTTATTTCACCACTGCCTGCAATAATTTTCTGTGCTACATCTTGTCGCATCTATTTGCACTTATTGCATTAGTAATAGGAAATACCCTTTCTTGTAAAATTATATTTAAGAGAATTTGCTAATATAATTGCGTAAAAATCACATTACTGTTACAGCCATTTAATGATCTTTCTGGAAAAGATATAAACTTTAAACAGTTTGCCATCCATCCAGTGGAAGGCCGATTACATAAGGATCAAAAATATATTATGACAATTACGTAAGCATTGTACTTTCCTGAGCATGATCCATCATCAAGTGGGCCCATTGTAGCTACAGCCCCCAAAAAGCTGAAAATAAACCCAATTTTCATATCTGTCGAGTAATTGTAGCAGTTATGAAGTGCAGAGCTGATGGTAATCCGTGCAGAGTTCAAAGGCGTATGGCAGCCTCAAACGACTTTTTGCAACAATTTATTACGAATTATTTGTAGGTCTGCTATACGAGAGTGGAAGTGCCGCTCAAGGTGCATATGTATCAGGTGAGCCATACAAGAATATGGTTATACAGGTCGATAAGTAGGGCCTCGCTCATGTCTACATTTTCTCTTAAAAATATTTGAGAAATCGTCCTATGCATAATCTGTTACAGAATCGTATATTAAATACCTCGAAAAAAGTCGAGAAGTACGCCATTATATACCGTGCAGTTTTATATCCTGAGGCGCGTAGCGCAAAAATCTATATATGCTTCTCGACCGAAGTATATATAGATTTTTTTGCTACTAATACGGACAATTGCCTCAATTGATTTAAATAGATTTTTAATTTCCCATCAATTTTTAACATTTGTTAATTTAACAATAAAAATAATACTTCTTAGAATCCAATGGTCAGCAGGTTTCAGGACTTTTCACGTATGACTGCTTCTAGGGAAAAATGGATGTTGTGCCAGTGTTTGCATATATTCTTAGGTAGTAAATGCCACATGTGCAACTCGCTAGAACTGTTTAACAATAGAATGAACACAAACTGCTATAAAAAATACGATTTTCCAGATTTTTGGGTATCCGTTTACCTTTTAGATAGTGTTTCTGTATCTTCCATTGTTACAAATGCAACAGACAAGCCGCAGGAAATTACGCTTATTCCGAATGATAGTGTGAACATTTTACTTTATGGAGAAGTTGAACTGCCAAAAGTATCAATTCGCCCTGAAAAGTTCTACTTAAAGGATTTAAAAGTGTACGAAACCCATGAAGAAATTTTAGAAATTTTTAATAACTCCAAAACACTCCCTTTGGTGATGAAGTACAAGAAGGTATAAACATGTATTTTATTCGCTTCAGTTGTTAGCAATCGGCAATAATTTTCTCAGGCTCCCAGTGTTGAACTAGAGCCGAAAACTATCTATTTGCCTCCCAGAGAACCGGTAGAAGTTTCTCTGAAGGTCAGGCCTACCAAAATGGGCGATGCATTAGCAAAAGTGAAACTAGAAGTTTTCTTCCAACAAGGAAATAATTTGGTGAAAGTTAAAACCATTCACTTCGACATTGTATATTCGGGAGATTATACGGAAGATCGCATGATGCTTAGGAGGAAAAAGCCCTATTTCCTACCGGGAATAACTCCAGTGAACCATAATGAGGTTGGTTATTTGGTGGATGATGTAAAATTTAGTTCAAAAATCGACAAACCCAATGTTGCAATGTTGGACGCGGCACATCTGGATTGCAACAAACATAACGATGCTCTAATAGCATTTCCTAATGATAAGCCAAGAGTCTTGAAACCGTGGAGGAATACTGTACCGTAAGTAGTACGCCCCATCCATGGTTTACTGTCTAAAAAGGCCATTTAGTTCTCTCTAGAACGATGTAAAAATGAACTTTCTTGCTCATTTCGCTTCCGAGAAATGAGCAAAAATCGGGACGAGAAACGTGAAATTTTGGCATAATCTTGCACCTAAGTATCTGATATTCAAGTTTCGCTTTCTGGGTCAAAACTACTCGAATTTACTCACTCGCGTTGTTACGACTGAATCGGCTTTTCAATTCTCTATCCAACGATGCCAAAACGAATTCTGTGACTCGAATGGTTCTTGAGAAACTTCGGAAAAAGCAGCGTCATGTTCAAGTGGA